TTTTTCTGCCTCAACCTCTCAGAGTATACCACCATCCCTGGTTGTCCATTACATTTTAGTTGTTGACTGTAATTTTAAAATCGGGCATGATGATGCACACCTGTGATCCTGTTATCCTGGGAGACTGAGGTAGGAGGATGTAAAGTTTGAGCTGAGTCTGGACAATTTAGTGCAGTGTAATAAGGCCCTGTCTGAAAATAAAAAGATAAAAAAGTTGGGAACATAGCACAGTGCAGAGGCTCGCCCTGGGTTCAATCTGTAGTACTTAAAATAATAATAATTTAAGTGGAGCTACGATCACCTCTTAAAAACAGGAGTTCATTATGTATATTACTGGATAATTGCTGTGTTTATTGAAGTTCAGCATCAAGGTCTTGACTACATTTAAGATTTAACAGGATTTAACATGAGTGTTTTGTAGTTACACAGAAATATTTGATTATGAGAATAAGGCAGTTAGAAGAGCAGCTCAGGCATTCCTTTGTTATAACTAGTTTTATCCCCTGCAGTCCTCTTAAGCTTCTTTCTTGTTGCTTTGTTCTATATTAGAATCTATTAAGTCTTCACCTTCTTGTCTTTCAGATAGTCTCTGAAATCCTTTTGGCTGGTGAATCATTCTGGCTCTAAATCTAGCTCTTTTTCTTACTCCCTTTTTAGTTCTTAATTCCTTTTCTTGCTAATAGATACTAAAATATTATCTCATTAGTAGTAACATGCCATTCTACTGTGTCTATTGGTTATGGGAATGACCTGGCTAAATGAAGCAGGTGGTAGAAATAATACTACATGTTGTTGTCTGCCTTACCTTTAATGTAGACTTGACCGAGAAAGGTTGTTGTCTTTTGGGCTTGCATTTTAAAAGGGCAAAAGTTTGCCATGCTTTAAGCACAATGTTTTTTTTTGGGTATCAGGGATCGAACTTGCCAGGCAGGAACTTATTCCACTGAGCTAAATCCCACACAGTGCTTTTCCATTCTGAACAAATTAATCAGGCTGTAAATAATCCTAACTCCAGTGAGTCCTGGGTGCCAGTGAAAAAAAGCTTTATGACATTGGAGGAGCTTTTCAATATAAAGAAATTTAAAGATGACAAATCAGCGGGTAGGATTGCAGCCTATATAGTATATAAAGTATATAGTATATAAAGCCTATATAGTATTTTTAAAAATTAGATGTTATCTTGAGAATCCTGACTCATTATGTTCAAAACTTTATTAATGCCATTTTCCTGTTGAAGTGAATATGACCAGATTTTTACTTTTAGCTTTCTCTTTCCTATGTTTGATGATCTTTTTCCACTGCACAATTGTTAGAATGTTTTAGTGGGAAGAGACTAGAAGAGTGATTTTCTAATTTAGCCTCCTTTTTTATTTTTATTTTTGTGTGGTATTGGGGATTTAACCCAGAGTCTTACACATGCTAGGCAAGAATTCTATATTGAACTCAGCCTTTTTAATTTTATTTTTTATTATTTTATTACTTTATTTTTATTTTGACACAGGGTCTCACTAAGTTCCCCAGGCTAGCCTTGAATTTGTGACCTTTCTGTCTCACCTGGTATTATAATTGTGTACCACTACACCTGGCTAATTCACTTCCTTACTGTATAGATGAAGTAGAACCAGGGTTTTAGTGCCCAGAGAGTTTTTTTCTTTCTTTCTTTTCTTGGTGGTGGTGTAGGAGATCAGACCTAAAGCATTTGAGAATACATTTTACCACTGAATTACATCCCCAGACCTTCCATTGATTTTTATTTATTTCTGTATTCTTTTTTTTTTTTTTTTTTTTTTTTGTCTTTTTCCTTTTTATCGGTACCGGGAATCAAACTCACGACTGCCTGCTTGCAAGGCAGGCGCTTATGCCGCTGAGCTAAATCCCCAGCCCCTTATTTATGTATTTATTTATATTCTTTTTTTGTTTTTTGAGATATGGTCTTATATAGTTTAGGCAGGCCCTGAACTCCCCAGCCCAGGCAGGCTTTGAACTCATGGTGACCATCCCGCCTCAGCCTCCCAGGTGCTAGATTATAGGTATGCATCACCATGCCAGACTCTGTTGACTTTATTTTGAGGAACTGAGAAATAATGAGTGCCAATTGAAAGAAAATATTTCCAAGATTTATAATTTGAATTTGTAGTTTAAAACCAGTTCTTAGAAATAATTTTTCTCTAAGTAAGCCTTACAGTTTAGCAGAGGAGAAAATAATTTCAGTTTCTTGCTTCCTAGAGTTGGATAAGTCTAACATTTCTGGGTCATAATAATGAAGAGCCCTCAGTGCACTGAGCAGATGTATTTTTTTGTTTATTGTCTTTTTTCCCTTTTGATGCATTCCTTTTTGTAAGGAAAGAGTTGCTGTTTTGAGTGAGTTTTTGCTGGAAATCCTTAGCTGTTTTTGTCACTCCAGAAGCTGGGTGAGACCAAATGAAAAAACTGAATCCAGCCAATCTTCAGTCATTTGTTTTATAAAATGAGGATTGAGGGCTGGAATTGTTTTCTGTAACTTCCTTGAAACTTTAAGCCTTGAAGACTAACAATTATATATCATTACAACTTTCTCAAAGGTTATTGAGTGAGTGACCTGACCATTCCCCATTGCCTACCTTCTGAGCTTTAAAATGTCTTCCTGGTGTGGTGGGAATGGCAAAATCAATCTGCTGCTCTTTAGTTGATGCTTTGGAATGTTCCGAGCCCAGTTTTTACCTTGGCACCAAGCCATTTGTACTCCCCCTGCCAGCTATTTTTGGCACTGTCATGAACTTGAAAATTAATGATTCTGCTCACTGTGAATAGAAAATTTTGTTCTTTCAGTTCTAGAAAAGCCTTTATATTGTTTCAGAGTACTCTTACTGTCTGCTTTATTAATGTTCCTATCTTGTGCAGTCTTAAAAACATGCTATACATTGTGAATTTAATTGAACTCTGAGGTTCCATCAGTAATATGTGGCTCTATTCAACTGCAACAAGAATATCACTTGTAAGGATTGTTTCTTTGGTGAACAAAATCACAGCTCACTTCAAATCCTTCAAAAACTGGTGATATTGGTAGTACTGTCATTAACTATTAAATTGTTTAGGTCTGAACAGGCCCAGGCCTTCTGGAACTTCAGTGTAGGGGTCCAATCTGTGGACTCCCCCAATCTACCTTGTTTTCTCTAAGGGTTTCTATTGACAAGAATAATTACTTGGGAAGGTTCTTCTTTAGGGAAACATCTATATCCTCCTATCCTCCCTGCTCAATACCATCCCTTCATATACATAATAACTGGCACATAGTGAGATCTGCTTTTCCAATTTCTTCCCATAATAGCATAAAGAGTTTGGATCTGGAGTGTCATGCAGATTTAAATTCTGTGACTTGTCTGACTGTGGTGTATGCACTTGGGAAGCTGAGGCCAGAGTATCTCTGTGAATTTGAGGCCAGCCTGGGCTACATAGCGAGTTCAAGGGTTAGCCTGAACTACATAGCGAGACCTTGTATCAGTCCCCTGCCCCTCACCCAAATAAATTCTGTGACTTCTAGGAAGGAAAGGAAATCTTTAGAGAAGATAATGAAATATTTAAGATGCTGGTTCCATACTGTCATGGTGTCATCATTTAATCTATCTTTCTTTTCTTTTCTTTTCTTTTCTTCTTTCTTTCTTTCTTTCTTTCTTTCTTTCTTTCTTTCTTTCTTTCTTTTTTTAACTAGAAGTTTAATATAAATACAGCCAGCATAGAAAAGCTCAAAACCATATACAAACAAAATCAGAATGACAACTGGTGGGGTTAGAAGGGCAAGCATTGACTTTTTGTTCAGCCAGTCCCCCAAATAAAAACAAAGATTCATGCTAGCTTAGGGGTGAGGGAGAGCAGGGATATGGTGTTCCATGTTACACAGGGAATGGCCAAAGAGAAACACTGGAGTCAGTCAGATCCTGGGTTCAGGGCGGGAGGGCAAAATGCCTCACAATTTAAGTCAAACCTGAACAGTCCTCAGGTGTTCTTTGGGCCCTGCCCCAGTAGTGCTGCTATCTCAGACTTAGGGAGGGGGCTCCTCCCCTTCTAGGGATCAACTAGCTGCAGCCCAGGCCTGCTGGGCTGAGGGCTGACACAGGCCCTCTCTGCAGTTCAGGCTGCCTGAGGGGAAAGGTGGGGTCACTGGTTAACTCTGGTACCTGCCTCAGCTCAGGTCGCACCACGCCACCACCATGGTCAAAAAAGCCCCAGTAGAAAGACAATCATGGCTCTGTGGAGAGCAGGTAGCTGTTGAGTTCTGAGTGCTAGGATTACAGGCATGTGCCACCATGTACAAGTGAGAAGCTGGCTATAGTGTCTGCTGTCAATTAGCAGATCTCTTTAGAAAGCATCATTTTTTTTTTCATTTTTGTCACACTTTTTTTTCCCTTGAGACAGGGTCTTCCTGTATAGTTCAGTCAGACCTTAAAACTCACTGTGTAGCCCAAGCTGGTCTCAAACTCATGGCAGGCCTCCTGGCTTAGCCTCCCAAGTGGTGGATTGACAGGTGGTGTGTACCACCATACCTGGCTCTCAAAAATGTAATAATTAACTAGGCCATTTAATTGATTTCTTTTATAATTAAAAAGTTGGTAAAATAAAAGGAAAGCTATGATTTTTTATCTATGATTCCAGTATTGAGAAAGTTCTCAAAACTGAAAATGTTTTCCTAAATTTGATATAAACTCATTTATTGTCAATTTAGCCAACTTAATATGCCTACTCAACATTTTGTTGCAAAAATATTAATGTGTTTGATTATGGGACAATGCCTTGAACTTCATTAGTAGTTTTATGTAATGTATAGTTTATGTTCTTTGTTACCTCTTTGAACGTAAAAAATTTCTGAATTCTAAAATGCGTCTTGCCCAGAGTTTTGGATGATTGATTACTAAAGATTGTTTTCAGTTTCATTATATTAATATACCTTTTGCTGATACTGAAACAATTTAGTCAACATAGTATATTTCCCAATATGTTTATTTTATATTTTTTGTTTTTGCTAGAGCCCCAGAAATTATTCTTGGATTGCCATTTTGTGAAGCTATTGATATGTGGTCACTGGGCTGTGTAATAGCTGAGCTGTTCCTAGGATGGCCTCTTTATCCTGGTGCTTCAGAATATGATCAGGTAAGAGTGTTTCATGGAAACGGAAAGCAAGTACGATTGACCCCTGAACAACAGAGGTTTGACATGTGTGGATCCACTTACACACAGATTTTTGACTTTTTTTTCCTTTTTCTTTTTGGACACTTGTGATAATTAAAAAAATACTTACCATGTAACCTAGAAGTATTGAAAAAATTAAGAAATATTAGATTTGTTATAAATGCATAGGATATATATGTATATATATAGATAATAGGTAATTTCTATTATAAAGTATATACAAATTTGTTGTAGTAAGTTCAAAGCTATCAGCACTTGCACATATGCAGACCATGATGCCATTCAGTTCAGTGAAATGTAAATAAATTGTTATAGTATCTGCAGTATGTACTATAGCTGTTTATACAGTTATGATTTAATAATAGCATCATATATATGATACATGTAGCCTATAAGTATTGAAAAAATTAAGAAAAATTAAATGTCACAAATGCATTAAGTATAGATAATAGATAATTTCTATGTATTAACTATAAGGGTGGTATCTGCTTAAAAAGCTGCCACATGTTAATCTTATCTCCATGAACACTTTTCTCTCCAGTAAATTGTGTGTCACGGGAAAAAGTTCTCTCTGAAGTTCTTGCATATTTTTCGAGGTATATAATTGTGTTTAGCATACAAATTGTGTGTTATTGGTAAGAATTCTGCTCCACAGCAGGCTATTAGTGGTTAAGTTTTTGGGGAGTCAAAAATTTCATGTGAATTTTCAGCTGTGGAGGAGGTCGGCACTCTAGCCCTTGCTTTGTTTAGACTTGAGAGGAAGAGAAGTATTACTACTTAGATACTGGAGAAAGAGGAGTCCAATTATTACCAAAGAATTTTTAAATAGTAGTAGACATTTTCCTAGTTTCTTTGGTTAGAAATTACATTTCAGCTCTATTATAAACAAAGGGATTGTATTTTACCTAAGATTGGTACTTTACTAGCTCTCTACTGATTTTTTTTTTTTTTTTTGTCTTTTTTGAGACGGGGTCTCACTATGCAGTTCAGGCTGGCCTTGAGCTCATTTTGTAGCCCAGGCTGTTCTTGAACTCCCAATGATCCTCCCACCTCAGCCTCCCAAGTGCTAGGATTACAGGTATGAGCCACCACGCCCAACTTCTCTACTGATTTGTTAGATACTTCAATTAACTGCTGTGTTTGTGAGTTAAGATATGAAAGCAAAGATAAAGAACTAAAGTTTTAAGAGTGAGCCTGTGACTCACTCAGGGCTGTTCTCTTTTCGCTTTGTGTGTGACACATGCTGAAGTACTTTTCTATAGACTGAAACACATTAGATCCCAAAAGCTGAGGGTACAGATTGGATATCTGTTAAACAAAATAGAGATTTATGAGAGGGATCATCTGAGTTGTAAAGTATTTTAATAAAATGATCTATGTGTCAAAATAGACAACTTTAGGATAAGATAGGCTACAGTTTCTTAAGGAGTTGGTTCATTGAAATGTTTTCCCATGGAAATAAATTGTAAATTCTCATTTCTTGCTGTTAACAAAAATTATTTTACTGGAAGCTCCCTGAGGGTGGAGATTGTCATTTCACCAATATATTCTGCATTCCCAACACTGCGTGGCACATGACAAATTACAAGTATGATTTTGTTTGTGTTTTTGTTTTTTTAATGAGACTGTCACTGTTTACCTAATGATTAGAAGGAAAAAATAGAATCTTTTCCTCATTCTGAGTGGATGTAGTGCTTCTTCAAATCCAAAAGATTTGATTTGATTTGATTTGTTTGTTTGGTTTTTGTGATATGGTCTTGCTATATAATTTAGGCTAGCCTTGAACTTGTGGTCCTCCTGCCTCAGATTGCTGAGTGTGTGTGCCACTACACTTGGAAGAATTTTTCTTTTTGAACCTGACTTTGAAAAAAATATCTTTAAAAAATCTGTTGTACATGTGTTAAGTACCCAGTTACACTGTACTTATAAATTTTCAATCTTTCCTTCACCTTGTGAGAAATTGGCTTCCTTACATAAAAAGTGTGAAAGTGAGTAAAGTGGTTATGACCAGTCTTGGTTGAACCAGGCTGATTCTTACTCCTTTTTGGGTCTAAACTCCTGTTGAGGATCTGAACGTGGTGGATTTCTTCGGAAAATATACACACAGTGATTTGTAAACAACTTCAGGGTATTCATAGATTCCTGATTAATAGAATTGTTCTGAGCAATTAGAGCCTATTTTGTGGCATCACCTGTTTCGTGGCATTACTTCAATTTTAGTAAGCTAATTGGTATTGTAAATTTCCTAGGAAGCGGAATTCAAATTCAGTTGGTTTTAGAAGCTAAGTACATCTGGGTATTTCCTTGTAAAGAAATGATCTGGAGGTTATCAGAATTTTTTCTTCAGTGTGTGAATTTTTTCTTCAGTGTTTCACTGGTGGTGTGAAACAGTGGGTGGTGGTGGGAAGTACTTTTCTCATGAATAAATAGGATGCTGTTGTCAGATGGAGAGTGAGATTGAAAATAGTTTATCTTGATGCAGAATTGGTAATACCAAAGGGTTTGTATGGCAGGATCCAGCTGAGTTTTTAATCACAACTCTCTCTTTCTCTCTCTGTACACATATATAGTCATATTGTATGGAGTTCAGCAATTTAAGTTTACAGTTCAGTGGTCTTTAGTGTGTTCACAGGGTTGTGCAGTTATCACTGTAGTCAGTTTTACAACCTTTTTATCACTGTATAAACAAACCATTAGCAGTTAATCCCCATTATCCCCTAATCTCTCAGTTCCTCCAACAGTAAGTAGGCAGCCACTGATCTACTTTCTTTCTCTAGATTTGCCTATCCTGGTTATCATGTTCATCACATACAATCCACAGTCTTTTATGATTGACCTTTTTTACTTAGCATAATGTTTTCAAAGCCTCTCTCTACTGCAGTTTGTCAGAACTTCATTTCTTTTTATGGATGAATATTGTTCCATTTATGTGTGTACCATATTTTGTTGACCTTGTTTATATATTGATGAACTCTTTGTACATTTTGGGTATGGGAATAATGTTACAATAAACATTGGTTGTACAGGTAACTAATTCCCTGCTTCAATTCTTTGAGGTGTCTAATAGAATGGAATTGCTTGGTCATATGGAAATCCAGTGTCTTAACTTTTTGAGGAGCTGTCAAACTTTTCCACAGAGGCTTAGTCATTTTATATTGCCCTCAACAATGTGTGAAGATTCAAGGTTTTCTACTTTCTAGTCAGTGTTTTGTTTTTTCCCCTAAGGTTTATCTAAAAATAATAGCTATCCTTCTGGGTAGGAAGTTGTTTTTCATTGTAATTTTGATTTGCATCTCTGTAATAATTAGTGTTGTTGTACATCTTTATGTGTTCCTTCACTATTTGTGTGTCTTTGGAGAAATGTGTTCAGTTGCTAGTTGTCCATTTAAAAATGTTGATTTATTTTTACTATTTTGGGATTGAACCCTCAGCCTTGCACATGCTCGGCAAGAATTCTAACTCTGAGCTACATTCTCAGCCTTTTGGTTTGTTTTTTAACTGGGTCTCACTGAATTGCTTAAGGTTTTTTTTTTGTTGTTGTTGTTGTGGTGGTGGTGGTGGTGGTGACAGGGTCTTGCTATGGAGTTGAAATTTACTATGTAGCCCATGCTAGGATTACAGGTGTGCACCACTACACCTGGCCAGGCAGGCCTTGCATTTGCCATTCTTCAGGCTCAGCCTCTTGAGTAACCAGGATTAACAAACCATGCATGACTGCTGTGCTCAGCTGAATGTTGTTGAATTGTATTTTATTTTATAGAGAAATTCAAAACATAACAATTAGGGAGTAATGGCATATAATTTGTATATTGTTACCTTTAAATCAGTTACTCAAGAGTATGAATTATATTTCTTTATTCTGGATATTAATCCTGTAATAAATATGATTTGTATGTGCATGATCATGATATAATTTTACATCTTTCTTTCTGATGTAGAAAGGTTGGTCCTCTTCCCCCCAATACTGGGATTAAACCCAAGGGCCTTCACACTGAGACACTGAGTTATCCCCTCAATACATGTTTTAGTTTTCTATTTTGAGACAAAGTCTCACTAACTTGCTCAGAGTGGGTTTGAATTTGTGATCCCCCTGCCTGCACCTTCCAGAGTGCTGGGATTACATGTATGTACTACTATGCCTGCCTTTCCCCCTGCCTACATACTATGCTTTGAAGTTCTAGTTCAGCATTAAACAGAAATGTCCTGAGTGGACAGCCTTGTTGTGTTCCTGACTTTAGGAGTAACACATTGAGCACATTCAAGTTTTCATTAATATGATGCTAATTGTGAATTTACTGAGTTGTGTTTTATAGCCCAGCCTATAGTCCATTTGGCTGTGTGCGGAAACATACCACACACACCTGAACAGGTGACATCATGTCTGTCATGTTCTGTGATGTCAGTTAGGACAAGGTAGTTGATCATTCAGATCATTTAAAATCCTTATTGGTTTTTGCTAATTTTTATTTTGAGAGTGGTTGATGTCTCATATACTTTGTTATTAGACACATACATATTTATGACTGTTATGTCTTCTCAGTGACTTGATCTTATCATTACAGACTGTTTCCTCTTTACCTCTGGTAGTATTTTGTCTTGAAGTCTGTTTTATCTGTATGTTTCTCTTTTTTCACAACATAAAAACTGAATATTTAATACATTTGTAGGAATAGAAGGAATGAGACAAGATTAGAATTTATACGTTGGACATTTATGTAAAGGGTTTTTCACTTTTCAAAGAAGTTTCCCGTTTCTGTCTTCCATAGAGCAATAAATAATAGTTACTATTCTGATGGATAAACTGTTAACATTCATTGGACAGTAATTATATCTTTGTGTATCATGTGATTATTGTTCGTTTCACAACAAAATTTCCTTTCCTGCTGTTAAAGAACCCATAGAATAGAGTGAAGAGCAGTCAAGATCATGTGAATGAATTCTAGAGACCCGAGGATTTTAAATACCAATTTGGTAACATAGAACTTACAGACATAATCTTATGTATTTATATTGTTATAATGGAAATGAAAGCTATCTTATTAAAATCTAGAAGTATGGCCACTAAGTACAACTAAAGGGCACAGCGCCTGCCTGGCAAGTGCAAGGTCCTGAGTTTGATTTCTGTCACCCTCCCAATAAATAAAATAACAAATGACAGTACTTTTTATTTGCTTGAATGTGGGATTTTTGTTAATAAACTATTTTACTCTTTATAGAAGCATGGGGTGATGGCTTCCCATTCTATTTTCATAATGAAAACTTTTCATTTTATATCAGACATTTTAAATGTTTTAATTCCATAAGTGTGTTATTACAGAAAAAGTAGAAGAGATGCACTAAGCCAAGAGATAAAAATTTCAAATTTCTGTAATTTTCACTAATCAAAAGTAACCGCTTATGTTTTGGTATACAGTATTTTGTGTTTATTATATATTATTTTTAGCATTTTTATTCATTCATATTGATAATACACATTAAAATACATGCATATAACATGCTATGTTTATCCCCCCATTACTCCCTCTCATGATATGTTTATTAAATATCTACTTTTCACTTTGTATATTGTGAGATATTTTCACATGTCCATGAATATCCTTTACCATAGCACTTATATCTGTATATTATTTCATTGAACAAAATTTATCCTAGATTTTAACAAACATTTCACCTTTAAAATGTTCTTAATACATGGGAGGGGTTTTGTTGTTGTTGTTTTTAATGTTATCGTTTGGTTTCATACTGGGTAGCTCCTATAAATCTAAGTAGTATCTTGCTGTCACCTAAAATTGATTTGTGATAGTACGTCAGATAAAGCCTACAAGTCATAGATTGCTGACTCCTGCTTTACATTCTTAAAAAACTGAAGATAAAAGAAAATGTCAGGATCTTAAAGAGCTCTGTTTATGTAGCTTATATTTAACAATATGTACTGCAATAGAAGTTAAAACTGAAACTTTTGGGGGTGTCCAGATCTGACGCATCCCTGTAATCCTAGCACTTAGGAAGCTGAGACAAGAGCATTGCTGCAAGTTTGAGGCCAACCTGGGCTACAAAGTGAGTTCAAGGCAGCCTGAACTGCATAGTGAAACTATCTCAAAAAGATCAGAAAAATAAATAAATAAATATATGAGTGAGTGAGGAGAGATGGAAAGTAAGATCCCCCCCCCTTTACCAATTTCTTTCTACTTTTACATTAATTGTAGGCTCTCATATATGGGTTTATAAAAAAGAAAAAAAATTCCTGTGTTAGTCTCAAGGGTGGGAAGAAAAGCAGATTACCTCTTCAGTTGCTTTTCTAGTTGGAAAGAATTGTAAAACCAAACATAGATATGAATGAATAATAAAAGTTTTTTGTGTGTGCGCTGAGGCTCAAACCTGTGGGACTCATACATGCAAGCCAAAGCTATACCTCAAACCTCTAAAGCAAAATTTTTATAAAAGAAAAATATACAAGTACATTTCATAGCCAAAAGAGAAATGACATCACCACATTTGATCTTTGGAAATCTTTACTGTGTATCCATGAAAAGAGTGAAAAGGCTTGTTATCTTACTGTTATTGTGAAAATAGTCTTTGTTTCACAGAAGAAGTCTTAGGGACATTCAGGGGTTCTACCATACCATACTTTGATAACTACTATCTTACTTCATAGTAAGTGATCGATAAATATTGACTGAATGAAGTAAATGTAGTATCTGTTCTACTGATCTGAGGATAGAGATGCTGAATTAATTCCTCCTACATTTTCTGGTATGATAGTGAAGTTCTGTGTGTATTTAGAGTAGGGACAATTAAGAGTTATAGTACCTAAGTAAGGAAGAAAATTTGAGGAAGAATTTTTCCTAATTTTTTCTTCATTTGATAATGCATTTTTAAAAAGAAAAAAAATAGTAATTCATGAAGAATCGGTCTTTTTAGAAACTATTTTGGTCTGTCCTAGAAATCTAAAGTTTTGTGAACTTTGTATCAAAGTTTAACAAAAAAGCAAAAAAGATTATACTAAAAAATTTAAAAACTGAGCCAGGCATGGTGGCTCATGCCTGTAATCCCAGCACTCGGGAGGCTGAGGCAGGAGGTTTGTTGCAAGTTCAAGACCAGCCTGGACTACAAAGTAAGCGTAAGGCCAGCCTGAACTGCATAGAGAGAGACCCCCTCTCTCTCTCTGGGAAAAAAAAAAATTTTAAAAACTGGATTTCCTTTTAAATAGCAGATATAGTAACATGATAATTACTAAATAATTATTTGGGTTACCCCTGGAAAGGTTAATATATTATGTACTTCCTAATTATTTACAGCTAAATTTCAATAATATTGATTAAAGAGTTAATTTTTTGCAGTACACTCTTCTTTTATTCTTGGCTTAAATTAATATTTTAAGGTTAAAAAGTCTTTACTAATTTCCCTTTTCACCCCAAATGATGTTTGATGGTTTTGGTATTTCAGATTCGATACATTTCACAAACACAAGGCCTGCCAGCTGAATATCTCCTCAGTGCCGGAACAAAAACTACCAGGTTTTTCAACAGAGATCCTAATTTGGGGTACCCACTGTGGAGGCTTAAGGTCTGTCTTCCCTTCTGTACTGCCCATTGCTGGACTCCCCATCCACAACTTTGAATTCAGGCTCTAAATGATACATTTTTGAGGTAGAGGAGGAAAAGAGCAAGTATATTTGTAGGAGGAAAGACTTTCCAGAATTATTTCATTGTATCCATTTGGCCTTTTCTTTAGTTAAAAGACAATTAAGTGCTAGGTTTTTTTTTTTTTTTTTGCTAGGGGGTATCAAAACTGATGACCTCACACTTGCCAGGCAGGCACTTATCCCACTGAGCTAAACCTCCAGCCTTAAGTGCCAGTTTAGTTAGCTGAGGTTATTTTGTGTATTTTGAATTAGCAATTGAGAATGTATAGAGAATGGTATTATTGAGTAATATGAAGAACTAGAGAAATTTAGTAATTGTTCTTTTGTGGAGAATTCCAAGTATAAATGATAAAACAAAATAATTTTCTAACTGCTGACATTCAGATCTTATGTGTTTTCTTGAAACAAGTTATCAGCTCTTTTTTTTTAACAAAAATCTACATTTTACTTTTGAACCTCCATTAATTTGAGTAATTTTGAGTAATTTAATGAACTCTGTAACACTCTGCTCCAGAGCCTATCAAATAGCATTTGAAATATCAGTTCATTTCAGGGTATCTTCAAGAGAAAAATGATAATACCCTTTCCTATCTGCCATCTTTGAATAAACTGTACTGCATTATTGCTTGCATGTTTATCACTATCGATAGGGTGGTTAGAGAATAAGGTCACATTTATCAGAATTTCTGATTGTAATCTCTGCCATCAATGGTTGGCAAAGTGACAACATGTCTATATTCTGGCTTTAATTTTTAAACTGGAACTAATGTAAAGATGGAATTTTAAAAAATTCATATTTTATAGACGCCCGAAGAACATGAGTTGGAAACTGGAATAAAATCAAAAGAAGCTCGGAAGTACATTTTTAATTGTTTAGATGACATGGCTCAGGTAAGTATGGCAGCTTTCAAAGAAAGCCAGACATTTGTATGTTTCTTTAATCAGAGATACAGTTCTATTGGTTATACTGGATAGACATTTGATCTGGTGCTCTTTTAAGTTTTTTCTTAAAAATTATTTTGTTTTTACCAAAAAGTTAATAGTTTACTATCCCCATAAAGTAAAAGGATGAATGGTAACAAAATATACTAAACATCTAAAATTATTTTATTGTTGTCTATCTCTGTATCTGTATTTTTTGTACTGAGAATTGAACCCAGATTCTTTGCAGTGAGCTACACCCAGCTATTTCTATTTTCGATTGAGACAGGGCCTTGCTAAGTCGCCAAGTTCCTAAGTTTCCCATTCTAGCCTTAAACTTATGGTCCTCCTGCCTCAGTTTCTCAGAGTGCTGGAGTAACAGGTGTATGCCACCATGTGTGGCTGATACTTTACATTACTGTTTATGAAGGTTTCTCTCTTGTCCCATATTCACTATTAAGTGCGAACTAACATTTATTTATTGAGTGCTAATTATGTTCTAAACTGTTTGAAGGCCAGGGATTTAGCTCAGCAACATAAGTGCCTGCCTGACAAATGCATGGTCGTGAGTTCAATCCCCAGTTTCGAAAAAAAAAACAACTCTTAATAAACATTTTATACTTAGGTCTTTAACCTTTTCAATAGAAACTTTTATATTTAAGTAATAATCACTTTTGTTTAACTTATTTGTCCCAAAATTTTAATAATGAGAATTTACTCAGCTTTGTTCCTTAGACAGTATAACAAAATTTTCTCTTATAAATTTATATATAATAAAAATAATTTTCCTTGGTTTTTCTTTTCTCAAATGCTGACACTAAATATCTAATTATTCTGCTTGAGAGAGAAAAACCAGCTTATTAATTGCTTAATATACTGTTTAAGTGAGGAAATGTAATGCTTCTAAATTTTCCTTTGAAGGTGAATATGTCTACGGACTTAGAGGGAACAGACATGTTGGCAGAGAAGGCAGATCGAAGGGAATACATTGATCTGTTAAAGAAAATGCTAACAATTGATGCAGACAAGAGAATTACTCCCCTGAAAACTCTTAACCATCAGTTTGTGACAATGAGTCACCTTCTGGATTTTCCACATAGCAATCAGTAAGTATGATATGGTCTAGGGCTTTTCCCTGATTGGTTCTTGATTCTTGTGCTGCAGATCTATCAAGTTAGTACCAGTTTTGGTGCTTATGTATGTGGCTCGCTGATGCTTTTCTCATTGAAAAATCATGAGATTAAAAATGAGGATGTGTATTTTTTATGATAAAGACTTGAATCTTTTTCTTTAAGTGCTTAAAACCTCTTGATCTTTGTCTTTAAGTTGTTTTCTGTTTAAGTTTCAGCATTCATTTAGTGAATCTTTACTCTCTTTCAGTGTTAAGTCTTGCTTTCAGAACATGGAGATCTGCAAGCGGAGGGTTCACATGTATGATACAGTGAGTCAGATCAAGAGTCCCTTCACTACACATGTTGCGCCAAATACAAGCACAAATCTAACCATGAGCTTCAGCAACCAGCTCAATACAGTGCACAATCAGGTATTAAGTTAATGACTTTGGAAACTTGAGCCTAAGTAAGATAGAAACTAGTGAGAGTACAGGGCCAAGTAAAAAACTAGTCTTTGTTTTGATGGTCTTATGGCTTAAGAATTTTCTATGTTGGGGCTGGGGATTTAGCTCAGCGGCATAAGCACCTGCCTTGCAAGCAGGCGGTCGTGAGTTCGATCCCCGGTACTAATAAAAATGAAAAAAAAAAAAAAAAAAGAATTTTCTACATGGCAAAAGTGATGGAAGACAAGTTAGACTGATATTACTAAGTGATATGTACTAACAAAAATTAAATCTTATTCCATACTCTCATAACTTTTTTTGAGATAAGATCTCACTGTGTAGTTCAGGCCTTGAACTCATGGTGTTTCTCCTGCCTCTGCCTCCTGCGTCCTGGAATTACAGGTGTGCATCACTGCACCTGGTTGTCATAAATCTTAACAGAGTCAATTGAGGTCTGTTGTACTAAATGCTGTTAGTTTTATTAATTTTAGCCAAAATGGCTCTCAAGGAAGAGTCATCACTAGGTGCTTTGAATAGTTAGCATTAAAGATGGTTTGACATTTATTTGTTAATCAGTGATATTTACATTTGTTTCTGAAGATACCAGGTTCTAGATTTCTTAGCTAGGTCTGCTTTTAAGTTAAGAGCATATATGAGATTTAGTGAATCTGCCATCTAGCAATTTTTGTGCAGAAATAGTTAAAGTTTGTGTAGCTAATAATCAGTACAGCACCTTGTAGTATACTTTAATTTAGAGATTTAGAACATTTCTTAAAAAGTTATTTCAAACAATTAATGATTGATTCTGTCTATGTAACATATACAATAAATTATTGTCTATCTTCACTTTTCACCAATATACAAATGTAATTCTTTTTTCCTAGGCCAGTGTTCTAGCATCCAGTTCTACTGCAGCAGCTGCTACTCTTTCTCTGGCTAATTCAGATGTCTCACTGTTAAACTACCAGTCAGCTTTGTACCCATCATCTGCAGCACCAGTGCCTGGAGTTGCCCAGCAGGGTGTTTCCTTGCAGCCTGGAACTACCCAGATTTGCACTCAAACAGATCCATTCCAACAAACATTTATAGTGTGTCCACCTGCTTTCCAAAGTAAGTGGAGAAACTCCTGTGTCATACGAAATTGTATTGGTTCTGATCTTTGATAATTTTAAACTGTCTCTGATGATAGGCATAACTGAAATTGAGTGATATTAAAAGATAGCCTTTTCCTTTTTAAATTGGTTATTTCTCTGGTTATTTTACTATCTGATACATTGTAGGAGTTCAATTTATATTTCCTTAACTGAATTGCTTAATACTAGTTTTTTGCCCCTAGACACCTTGTATTTAAATATAAACATGTATTATGCAATAGGCAGAAGGTATATATTTGAAAAATTTGTCATAAACAGCATTGCTATATATTGTCTAACTTTTTATATCATTCCATTATGAAAAAAATAATGCAAATAAAAGGATATTTTACTCTAAAATGTAAGAATCATATTAAGGATGTAGCTGGGTTTAATGGCACATGCCTATAATCCCAGCTTCAGGAGGCTGGGCAGGAGGACCGCCACATGTTCAAGGCTATCTTGGGCTACGTAGTGAGTTCAAAGCCAGCTTGAATTACAGATCAAGACCTTGTCTCCAAAACAAAACAAAACAAAACACACAAAACCCCCCCCAAAGATTGTTGAACTCATATTCAGTAATAAATACCATTATTTTTGAACTGAAAAGTTCTACAAGCTGAGTTGCTTGTGTGGGGAAGGCATTAAGATTACAGTATCTTCAGTTTATGACTCATTATTTCTGCCAACTTCTGTTAACAGAGGAACAAAATAGCTGAAAAGAGAGGCTGACTCCCATGTGTTACAATTAAGTTTTTAATTTTCACATTCCTGCCTGTATTGTCTTGTTGTTGTAATCATTTTTCTGTTTCCTTTTATCTGAAATATCAGAAATATGTATTTATTTGGTAAGCTGTTGAGATAGTTAAAATTATTTTATAGATATTTCCTGACAACACACTTGGTTTTCCCAAGTGAAAGTCAGTTCCTTGTGGGGATAAACTTGGATTTAGGCTTCTTATAACACTTACATAGAAGCAGGTAGCATTTTTATCTTTTTACTTTAGTTACTTATTGACTATGATTCTTTTGTTTGTTTGGTTTCCGACAGAGTTGGAGCAAACAGAAGGAAATGAGGGGCTGGGGGAGACTGAGAGATTACCGGGAGGACAGGAGAGCAATAGCAGTCTAAACCAGGGAGAGCCCACGGGGAGAGCGGAGGAGCAGATTCAAAATCCGTAAATGCAAATTTAGCCTAATTTACCAGATTACTTTTTTACATATGCTTTGTAACAGTAAATTCTGTACTCTGGGTTGTCGGACATGGACTGATTCTTCATTGAAATGGTTTTCAGATGTGGGATGCTAAAGTTTTCTGCTGCTTCTCAGACGATATTTATGAGATGAAGCAGAATAACTTTTGAATCCCTTTAACAAAACAAAATGTTAACTGAAGAGGTAGAGAGGAAAAGGTAATCCCTTTTGGTATAATTAGGTAAATTTAAGTTTTAGACAGTTTTTTCCTATTTAGAAATGTAAATAACCTGAAGAGCTAGTAGAGCAAATTCTAAAAATTTCAAATAAAAGGGAATTTTGAAATTAAGGTAGTAATGATGGTACCTGATATTATTTCCGTATGCTAGAAAATGTTTTAAGTTGCTTTTTATGTATTTACTCTCACAAACAACCTCAGGGGGTAGATAATGTCAATACCCCAATTTAAAAATGGACATGCACATTTGTCCAAACCCTGTAATCATTTACGACAGAACAATGTTTTGAACCCATTCAGTAGGATTCATCAGTACTTGTTTTGAAGTATTATTCCATACTGCCTTTGAGTGTTTAATCTCGAATATCTGTGAAGAATTGGTTGACTGGGGCCAGGGATTTAGCTCAGCAGCACAGTGCCTCCCTGGTAAGTGTGAGGTCCTGGGTTCAATTCCTGGCACCCACAAAAAAAAAAAAAAAAAAAGAATTGGTTGACTTGCCACATATCCTGATATGCTGATTTCTATCCAGCAGTTTTATGTTCCATGTTGCCCACTTCATCTTCCATTCCTTCACAACATATCTATACTTAGTAGAGGGCCAAACTCTCATCATTAGGCAGTTTTACTCTTCTCTCCATACTTCTGAGATTCTTTATAGTTTAATGACCTATATTCAGTAGAATAAAAATAACAAAAACCAAAGCTCTACTCCTCTTTTAGATCACGATTTGAGAAAAACTTCTCAAAGTATTTTTGTCCTAGGCATGATTTCTTTATTTTTCTATTGATTAGAGACAAGATATATGATTTAAATGTGAATTGGCTTGTATTTTTTGAGGAGTAAGGAAAAACATACTTTAAAACATTCTAAACAAAAGGATAACTTAGATTATAAATTACTATGCTTTTCGTAATATAACCAAAAGTTGCAGTTATATTCATCTTTGCCTTTAAATAATTAATTTTAGAACCACTTCAATCACTCTCCCATACTGTCAGTTAAAAGATGAATGTAACTTCTTGTTTATTTTAATGTAACTTCTTAAGTGAAGTTTTTTGTACTGTTAATTGAGATGTATGATGAGTATTGTTTTAAAAATTTTATCACATTAAAAAAATTAGAATTCCCTTCAGTCAATTCTCTGTCATATGTCTTTTGCATTAATCTATACTAAATGGAACCAAGTCTCCCTTTTCTTTTGTCTCAAGTCTTCTGTGAATGAAACTCCTTTGGCTTAAGTGTTTAGGACTAAAACTTGATATGGCAAAGCTAAAAATAAACCATAGGAGCCTCCCCAAACAAACAGTACTCTCAGACTCAGGAAAACCATTTAACCATGATGCTGTTTTCATCAGCTGGTCTGCAAGCAACAACAAAGCACTCTGGATTCCCTGTGAGGATGGATAATGCTGTACCGATTGTACCCCAGGCACCGGCTGCTCAGCCACTGCAGATACAGTCAGGAGTCCTCACACAGGTAAAACCTGGGGCCATGCGGATGCACGGTGGTGCTGAAGCACTGTTGAGAAAGATACTTTCTTCTAGAAAATGCTGTTTGCTTTGAATATAAGATCTTTCTTGGTCATGATTCAGTGATCTTAAAATGAAATATCTATAATTGGATATTCTTAGTATTATAACAACTCTGCCAGTGTCTTCCTCAAACTTAAAGGATAAATGTTTAGACACTGAGAAATGATCATCTGAACAAGTGTACTTTGTGGAATGAGGCCTGTCTCCCCCCACCCCACTATCTTAAAGATGAAGTATGTATGCAGTTTGTGTATGTGCATATATATGTTTCTGTTTATGTGTGCAGTGGTAGGGATTGAATCAGAGCCTTCACACTTAGCTACATCCTTACCCCTTTTTAAAAAATATTTTGCAGCAAGTCTCCACAGGTCATTAAGTGGCCCAGGTTGGGCTGGAATTCACAATCCTTGTACCTTACCCTTTCAGAGGGCTAGGGGATTACAGGTATGTGCCACTGCACCTGTTAAATTTTGTATTCTAAAGAAACAAGGTTCTACTCTTGTCCCTTTTGCCTACCTAAAGAATTTTATCACAGTGGAAAGGCTAAACTAAATTACATCAGGATGAATCTTCAGTTACTTCATTCTTTTGTTTAGCCAGACTGTAGAAATTTTTAAAACATTGCACTTCTCATGAAACATGAAATGAAAGTGTTGAAGAAAATAATTAAATATTTATATAGTAGAAAATTAGTACATTTTAAGTTCTGTATGTATTTATTTTTGGTCTATGACAGAAAATTCTGAAATCCAAAAACCCTGTTTTGTGAGTAGAAGAAAGAATTCTTAATAAATGTCTTTTATTTTATAGAATTGATCCTCTGAATCTCATCCAAGAAAGATTTCTATACTTTTCTGTTTTAGTGCATTGGCATTTAATCTAGTGGGCCAATGCTGTGCAGAGTGAAGGAGAAAGTTTTGTGTTGGTATGTGCACTTAAGGTGATATGAAATTACTTTATTATAAATAATAACTTGGGGAATGAGAGCCCTTCTGAATCCAGATAACCTGCCTCAGTGTTTGTTTCACTCACCTGCCTAATCTACGTTTCAGGGAAGCTGTACACCACTAATGGTAGCAACTCTCCACCCTCAAGTAGCCACCATCACACCGCAGTATGCGGTGCCCTTTACTCTGAGCTGCGCAGCCGGCCGGCCGGCGCTGGTTGAACAGACCGCTGCTGTACTGGTAATTCCCTCACTTGATTGTGTTACTAACAGAGTTCCTTTGGTTTCCTTCTTTTTTATTTTTTCCTGTTTGTCTTTGTTCTGTTTTCTTTTGGTTTCTTATTTTTCCAAAGAATTTTTTTTTACCTTGGTCTTTGCAGAGAGCATGGAAGCATTGTGCCATCTTGTGGCTGTGTTCTTGCTACGTCTTTACTGTCTCATTGTTTTCCTCCTCAACACTTGCTGAAGCACTGTCTGATGGGCAGTGTGGCTCTGAGCCACTTGGATTTTTTTTTTTTTTTGCCAGGCTAGTATGGTAAATGCTCTTGGTGTAGCCTCGGAAGAGCTTCAACACTATTACCTGTTTTCTGCCCTTTTACTCTCCATTCCTTAAGAATGATGGACATGGCCTTTAGTTTGGCTCTGCTGCAGGTACCTGGATGGCCAAAATTTGATCTCCTTGGCAAGTTAGCTTTATTTTCTTTTTTTGCTCTTTTAAGCTGCTAAAACTTTTGCTCATGTGGAAACGCTTAACATACTCTTAATCTATTGCTGAGTTAACATTAACCTTCTTTCTGTAAATATATGAAGGTATCCCCTTTTGACACTCATGATCAGTAACAGACTCCGATTATTTAAAAATATTCCCTTTACAATGTACTGGTAGATCATATTGTTGACTGGAATTAAAGGTAAACTCATTTTTAGAGATTTTTGGAGAAATGTATTATTTTACAAACAGATCTTAATACAAAGATGAAAATATGTTTTACAAGCTGTGTAAATATAGTGCCTTTGTTATTAAAGATAGTGAATATAGCTGTAGTTATAGTAGTGTCAGGCTTAGAGAGAAGAAAAAGTCCCAGGAGACTGAGGTGTATTTCATTATTTGTAATCTTCATGGTGATTTTTGAATGTTTTCTTTTACTGAGGGAAGTTAGAATTTTTTTAAAAATGATAGCAAGCATTTCATTATTTGAAATTTATCTTAAGTTTCTTTCGTTGTTTCTCATGTACTCATGAGTGAAACACTTTTAGAAACATATTTGACTGGAACTTGTTTGGTTTTAAGTTTAAAAGTCTTTGTCACTGCCAGCTTAATTTTCTCATAAGCATAAAACCCAAGTGGCAGATAATCAGATCCAGTTTGGTTGATCAAGACTGCTGGTTTGAACTTGCACACCAATAGTTTTGAGATTGGGGGTGTTAGTTGACACTTTTTTGCTGCTTTTTTTAAGTGCACTAGCCATTTGCTAAGCTTTGCATATTTTTGTTCTTCTTCTGTCAGAACAGTTCATCGCTTGGAACGCCAGATTTCTGCTTCACATTGAGATGTTATTTCTTGCTTTATATTAAACTACATGCTTTGTCTTGTGCAGGTGTTGGCTTATGGAAAGACGCATGGTGTGACTTAACATACTTTTCTTATTTTCTGTTTTGTTTTGTTTTGTTTTGTTTTAAATTCTGCGTATGGTAGCAGGCGTGTTTGCAGTTTATCTGCTTTGAAGCCTTCTTGTTTGGAACCGGTGTTTGTGACAAGTGGATCTGTTACTTGCAGAAATATATAAAACTCTGTTGGTGGCCTTGCAGTTTGAAATTCATGAAACAGAACCATATGTATCCAACAATTGTAGGTAATTGTACTGCAGAATTCAAGTTTAAGAAAGAAACTTCCAAATCTGTTTCCCTTTGTTCAGAAAATGCCAAAATTTCTCTAAGAAGTACGGAAACCATTTGTTGCTCTATTGCAAGTAACATAGCTTGCTAAAACTGTATTTTCTTATAGTGATAGTTTTTATATGAAGTATGTTTCTATAATTGATACTAGCATGTTTTAGGTACCTATTAAAATAATATGATGCTTTCTGCATCTATTTCTTAGATATTTTATTTATTGCTTAGATTTTAATTTTATCATATGACTGCAAATGATGTCATTAACTTACTCCTATTGGCATGTTTGACCTTTGGTCATCTTCATCTGGCTCCATTTTCTGAGTACTATTGCCCTTTTAAAAAGTAATAATTCTGCCCTATGTTCTATGGGTTGAGTTAACCAGATGTCTTATCTGATTGGCAGTCAAACTTTAGAATTTCAAGTTTTTAAATCCAGGGGCATCCACTTAACCCTTTCTAAGGATACATGTTTTACTATTTTTGCAAAAATGATACCTCTGAGATTTAATGAGAGATTATTTCCTCTTAACTTTCAGACTCTTTTAGTCTCTAGTATAGTAGAAACTTGCAACTGCAGGGATTTTCATTTTCTAGTATCCTGGTGGCCCGGTTATAGAGGTAGCCAGCAGAAAGTAGTATGTTTCTTTGTCTTTCATAAGACTTGTAGCCATGAACTCCTCTGACCTTTTCTTTTTTGATCTCTGCAAGTTAACAATCTACAAGCAACTTTTTTTTAAGATACAAGTTTTTCTTTCTCTAAAAAACAGAAGAAAAGGCAAGAATAAGTCAAATATGGATCTTTTTCTATGTGTTTCCTTACAGCAAGCTTGGCCTGGAGGAACTCAGCAAATTCTCCTGCCTTCAACTTGGCAACAGTTGCCTGGGGTAGCACTACACAACTCTGTCCAGCCCACAGCAGTGATTCCAGAGGCCATGGGGAGTGGCCAGCAGCTAGCAGACTGGAGGCAAGTGCCTACTGTTTTCCTCTGAGATTTTTAAGGGCAGCTTCTTTAGGGTAGAACATTTAATGCTGTGGAGAGACTAGGAAGTAAACAAAGGGAATTTTAACTGTATTTGAAATCCTTTAAGAGAACAATTCATTGTAGATTAGGAGATGGAGGTACAGAAAACTTGGAATATAGGAAAACAAATCCTAAGGTCAGGATGATTTTACTCCATATTTAAAGACAGGCTTTAGTGATAAGAAATGAAATAGTACAATCCTAAAACCTCACAATCCTGATACCTAACTTTAAAAATAAAATGTTTTAGTTGCTTTTAGTGCCTGTTTCCAGTAGTTTAGGCTTCACTCTTCCGTTGCTTCCTGTTGGTCCAGGAATGCCCACTCTCATGGCAACCAGTACAGCACTATCATGCAGCAGCCATCCTTGCTGACCAACCATGTGACATTGGCCACTGCCCAGCCCCTGAATGTCGGTGTTGCCCACGTCGTCAGACAACAGCAATCCAGTTCCCTTCCTTCAAAGAAGAATAAACAGTCTGCATCAATCTCTTCCAAGTAAGTTTGTTAGAGTTTATGGTTAAAGTTGTGCCAGCTTGAGAGAGACATTGTCCAGCATTTGCAAAGTTGTGGCATGAATATTTTTAGCTTGAAGCAGCAAGTAGCTGCCAGATTGAAAGACAGCTAACCTTTTTACCTGGGGGTGTACACCAGGTGTGTTCTGGTTCTGATTATTCTTTCTCTTTGCTGTCCCTTTGAATGTGCCTTTATGATGTTTTATTTTTCTGCCCCTTTTATGTAGTGAAATTTAACCCATGGATAAAGGACACAAAAACATATTTCTTTTTATATTTCCAAAGTAATTTTTTGTTAAAACTATTATAGTCAAGTATATTAGCTTAATGATGTGAAAAATTGGAAAGCAGTCTAGGGAAAAGATCTGTAGTTTGGGAGGCCCAGGATTGAACCATTTTTCCTTGTGAACTTTTCCTACAGATCCTCCCTGGATGTTCTGCCTTCCCAAGTCTATTCTCTGGTTGGGAGCAGTCCTCTCCGTACCACATCTTACAATTCCCTAGTCCCTGTCCAAGATCAGCATCAGCCAATCATCATTCCAGATACTCCCAGCCCTCCTGTGAGTGTTATCACTATCCGAAGTGACACTGATGAGGAAGAGGACAATAAATTTAAGCCCAGTAGGTAAGATAGGTGAATGGTTTCTGGTTCTGTTGAGTTTAAACTATTGACTTTAGGAAAATGTCCTAGTTTGGATTACCCCCCCCCTCCCCCCCGGGCGCAAAAAAAAAAGTACTTTGCAAATCTGGCCTTAATGAGTCAGCCAAAACATTTGTATTTCCATATGAGCATTGTCAAGTTTTCTACAATGTTATTCCTCCTCGTTAGGTAGGTAGAGAAAAGGTTTATATCTGCTCTGCTTTTGAATACACATTATACTGCAGGCACGATCCCTGCCTTCAAGGGGCTTTATGAAAATAGCGTAACAGGAACATATGAACAACCATTAATTGGAATGAGTAGGTAGGTAAGGGATTATTTGAAATTCATGTAATTTCTTATTCTGAAAAAGCCTCTTTGGAAGAAGTTAGAAATGTTTATTTTTCCCCCTCTGCTGTATGGCCTGAAAACTAAAGAATTAAATACTAGATTATTCCTCTTATGTTAGCACCTAAGTTGAATCAAATCCTGTCTTAACCATTCATTCATTATGTGACCTTGGGCAAATTGCTTAATTTCCTTGTGCCTCGGATTCCGCATCTGCAAAATGAGGATAATAGCACCTACTTCACAGGATTGTTGGAGGGTTTCAATGAGATAGGTGTAGAGCATGGAAATACTGTCTGATACATAATAAGCATTTAGAAGTTACGTGCTGCTGTTACTATCATTAGCACTCTGTCATCATCATTACCATGAGAGAATGAGGGACCATCTTAAGCCATGTTACAGTTGAATTTTCACGTATTTCCTTCTTCTCAGCTGTGGCCTGAAGCCAAGGTCCAATGTCATTAGTTATGTCACTGTGAATGACTCTCCAGACTCTGACTCTTCCTTGAGCAGCCCATATTCCACTGATACCCTGAGCGTTCTCCGGGGCAATAGTGGGCCACTTCTGGAAGGGCCTAGCAGAGCTGCAGCAGATGGCGCCGGCACTCGCACTATCATTGTGCCTCCACTAAAAGCTCAGCTTAGTGACTGCACTGTAGCAACCCAGGCCTCAGGTAAGTGGTATCTTTACAGCTGGAGTTGAAATTTGCTTGGATGTGTTTGTGCTTAGTATTTTGCTATAATATGCAGTACTTTTGCTAGTGGTCAAGACCAGTGGTATAGATATTTTTAAATGGTTAATTCAGAAATCAGTTCCCTGGGATATAAGATAATTTTTTTTTTGTCATTCTATGGTTTTTTTTTGTTTGTTTGTTTGAATTAATGTAAAAATGAGATTGCATTTGGTATCAGTATAGTCTCGCAAACACACTCATTGATGATGGGAAAAAGTAGACAAAATTTATGTCATATAGCAGGGGAATTAGCAAGCAACTAGATTTCCCTCACATGATTTGAATTTGGCAGTGTAGCTAAGAACTGGACGTGGTAATATTGAAAGTGACTATAAAAGGTTTTTTTGAAAACAGTATGTCCTTCAGATGCTTTTTTTGGTTTTATTGTCAGCCTAATTAACCACCATCCTTTTTGCTCTCTTAGATACTGCATGTAGTCTCCCTGATTTTGCTTTGTATGAGTTGAGCAATACTGGGTGCATTAACAAATCCCCAAGTTTCCATGCTGATCATATTAGAAGATTTTACTCATATTCCCAATGCAAGTGTTTGTGATGGTAGGTCTACAGTGATGTAAGGGCCAGAGAGCCTTGGAATCTTTAGCAACCAGTCAGAATGAAAAAGAAATTTTGACAGAGGCAAACGCCCATTTTTAACTTCACTGCTTATATGGCTTCACTCAGATGCAAGGAGGTCCCAGAAATGAAGTCTTGTCTAGGCAGTTGGCTCCCAGTGGCAATTTTACACAGAGAAAGTGAAAGATAAGTTTCAGTGTTAGCATGGACACCTGTGCTGTTCTTGCATAAATGTTTTATTATGGATTATGGTAGTGTTATAGGCATAAATAGGGTTCTGATTTAATAATATTCTGTTGAGTCTCTGTGTAGTCCTTCTTGAGAGTAGTTAAATGTCCCATTAAAGACAAGGTAAAGCTTCTTGGTGCTTGGCTGTTGAACAGAATTATTAGAACCTTTGTCCATTCTTGGGCCCAAAGAATGTAGCTGTCTCAGAAGTCACTGAATTAATGTACCAATTTTCTTACTGGAACACGGAAGGAAGCGAGATTTTTGTATTCAGCTATCTTGTAATTTTTTCAAATTGGTTACAATACATATCCAGCAAGAGAGAATCTTGCTGTCCTTTAGAGTCTTTTGACCTTCAAATATCCTAAGAACTACCAGAAATTTTTTTGGTTTCATATTATCATTTCTATTCTTGTTTAATCCCGTCCTACATCAAATTATAAGCTCCTATAAGGACTGTGATGTTTGTATTTCTAGTGGTTTCTTGTATATGATAGGAGATTAGATAATACTTATTCAGATAAACTTTTTGAGGATCCTATGTGGTAAAGTAACAGTTTTTGTTCTGATGTAGATGTAATTGAGGAAGTAAGAGATATTTGACACTTAACTCATGCAAATTACTTACAACTGTGGACTGACTAATACAATGCCATCTGAGATTCAGTGATACTAATCTCTGGCTCCTTTTTAGGTCTCCTAAGCAGTAAGACCAAGCCAGTGGCTTCAGTGAGTGGGCAGTCATCTGGATGCTGTATCACCCCCACAGGGTATCGAGTTCAACGCGGGGGGACCACCACAGCACAGCCACTCAACCTAAGCCAGGTAAGGGCTGGGGGCTGCTGCCTTCTGTTTGGGGCTCCCCCTGTGGTTACAGTCTGGAGAACCCTGTTTCTGGCTGGACTGCCCACTAATAAAGCCAAATTAAGCTCCTTTTGTGTCAAAAAATTTAGTGTTCTGTTGCCTGCGTCGAATCTACATGTGCTGTGTCTCTTCATTTGCTCTGTGAATTTTCCATTAGACCTGTGTCTGGGAGACCAGAGAAATGTCCATGCCTGGTTCTGCACTGCCATATACTTTTTTTTTTGGTACTGGGGATCAAACTCATGACCTCGTGCTTGCCAGGCAGGCGCTTACACTGCTGAGCTAAATCCCTGGCCCACGGCGTGTACTTTAAAGCTAGATTCTCTTCCTTTATTTCCTAAGCCACTGGTGGTGAACCTACAGCATGTGTGTCACAGTGGGTTGTTTATATCAATGAAAGGCTGTAAAAGGTTCACCACCTGTATACCTATGTCATAAATAACCTGAGCCCAACCTTCATTGAGTCATTAAACAGGGAAATTTTTTTTTTTTTTTGGTACAGGGATGGAATTCATGACTGCATTCTTGCAAGGCAGGCGCTTATGCTGCTGAGCTAAATCCCTAGCCTTAAACAGGGAAAACTTTAGCGGTTAAATCAACTGGTTTTAATCCTTCATATTGCTAAAGTCTGGTATTTGCCCCCCTACTCTCTGCCATTTACTAGCTCATGGGTTACTTTATTTCTGTTGTGTTCACTCTCTTCTCAGCTAAACTGGTATTTGTATGATGTTTGCCAGTAGTGAGAAATTGTCAAGATGCAAGTGTAATAACTGTGTGTGAGAGAAGAGAGCACATGCAAGTACAAATGTAATTTTGAGTTAGTCATGTGTTTTAGACTCCCATTTCAGGAGGGATGTGAAGAACTTAAAAGAAAACAATGGCAAGAAGGGTTAGGAAAAAGTAAACATTGCTAATGCCAGAGTAGAGTTCGTTAATAGTTGTTAACTTGCAGAGTGGGCAACTTGATAAACTCTTGATACTGTCACACTTAAGACCAAAATGCTTCTGTCTGAACTGGGATAGGATCTATTCTGCCAAAAGGCAGAGGGATGGTTGCTGGTTTCTGACAACATTCATTACTAATCTGGGAAATTCTGTGCCGTGGCAGTTCAGAGATAATACATACCAGACCCTCCACTCTTAACGTGGCCTTTGGTGCTCTAAAGCAGAGTGACTTCAAGATTCCTCATTCCCTTCTTCCTCCTTCCAGAACCAGCAGTCATCATCAGCTCCAACCTCACAAGAAAGAAGCAGCAACCCTGCTCCCCGCAGACAGCAGGCATTTGTGGCCCCGCTCTCCCAGGCGCCTTATACCTTCCAGCATGGCAGCCCACTACACTCTACGGGTCACCCACACCTGGCCCCAGCCCCTGCTCACCTGCCAAGCCAGCCTCATCTGTATACGTATGCTGCCCCCACTTCTGCTGCTACATTGGGCTCCACCAGCTCCATTGCTCATCTTTTCTCCCCACAGGGCTCTTCAAGGCATGCTGCAGCCTACACCACCCACCCCAGCACTCTGGTGCACCAGGTTCCTGTCAGTGTTGGGCCCAGCCTCCTCACTTCTGCCAGCGTGGCCCCTGCTCAGTACCAACATCAGTTTGCTACCCAGTCTTACATTGGGTCTTCTCGAGGCTCAACAATTTATACTGGATACCCACTGAGTCCTACAAAGATCAGCCAGTATTCTTATTTGTAGTTGGTGAGCATGAGAGAGGAGGGTTCATTGGCTGTCTGCTTCTAGCCCTGAGTTCTTAATAATGGGCTATGTATAGTGAGCACCTCTCTTATTCTCTCTTGAAACTCCTTAGCCAGCAACTTGTTCTGCAGGGGCCCACTGAAGCAGAAGGCTTTTCTCTAGGGAACCTGTCTCAGTGTTGACTGCATTGTTGTAGTCTCCCAGAGTTTGCCCTGTTTTTTAATTCTTTATTTTTGTGTCAACATTTTTGGTTTTTTGAAGAATTCAGAAGCCCATCTTCTATAGTTACCAAGGAAGAGAGACCATTCTAAAGTTATCTTTTGAAAAATTTTTGTCTTTCTGACTTGATTTCTATAAATGCTTTTGAAAACAAGCGAAATCCACCTTATTTAACTTTGTTTTGTTGTGGTTGATGGTCAGAAGGAAAATGCTGATAGAAAGATTTAAAACCTGATGAAAAGTGAGAAAAAAAATAACTACTTTTGGTTTGTTTGAAATCCAAGGCTTATTTATCTATTTTATTTTAAAGCAGCTTATGCAAGTCTGTATTTTACTATCAGGCATTTCTCCTCAGAAATATATCTGTGTTTGTGGGACATTTAAATTGATATTGTTTTAGTTTTGTTTTCATGTTGCGTTATACTTAATGAACAATTTTTTTTAAAAAACTAGTTACATATTGATTGGTTACATATGTGATTATTACAAAGTGGTGTTAAAAAGGTAGCTCACCATTTTCTATTCACTCAGTGAGAGAATTTGTGCCCACCATGGAAACACCATTTTTTTTAAATGAAGTGCCATGAATTCTTTTTAAAATTACTTCTAAGAATTCCTTTTTTTTCGATTCAACTTAAATTTTATTATTAGAAAAGCCATTGAAGTGGTCATTATTATATGGTGGTAGTGGTTTTATCATATGAAAATCTGTTTCTATTATGAGATACTGGCACTGATGAACTTTGCCAACAGGTTGGTATTGGTGAACTTTGCCTAAAGATTATTATGAATTTCAAGAATACACCTTTGTGTTTTCTTCATCTCTCCCTTCTGTTTTATGCGATTTATTTGGGGAGAAAGCTAAAGAATCTGAAACTAGATAAGGACGTTGTTGCGTATAGCTTTTATACTTTAAAGTAGCTTCGTTTGTATGCCAGCAGCAAATTGAATGCTCTCTTATTAAGACTTATATAATAAGTGCATGTAGGAATTGCAAAAAAAAATATTTTAAAAGTTTATTACTGAATTTAAAATATTTTAGAAGTTTTGTAATGGTGGTGTTTTAATATTTTGCATAATTAAATATGTACATATTGATTAGAAAAATATAACAAGCAATTTTTCCTGCTAACCTAAAATGTTATTTGTAATCAAATGTGTAGTGATTACACTTGAATTGTGTATTTAGTGTGTATCTGATCCTCCAGTGTTACCCCGGAGATGGGATTAATGTCTCCATTGTATTTAAACCAAAATGAACTGATACTTGTTGGAATGTATGTGAACTAATTGCAATTACATTAGAGCATATTACTGTAGTGCTGAATGAGCAGGGGCATTGCCTGCAAGGAGAGGAGACCCTTGGAATTGTTTTGCACAGGTGTGTCTGGTGAGGAGTTGTTCAGTGTGTGTCTCTTCCTTCCTTTTCTCCTCCTTTCCCTTATTGTAGTGCCTTATATGATAATGTAGTGGTTAATAGAGTTTACAGTGAGCTTGCCTTAGGATGGACCAGCAGGCCCCCGTGGACCCTGAAGCTGTTCACTGGGATTATTCAGAACAGGATTAGTAGCTGTGTTGTATAGATGCATTATTCTCTGTTTCCCTGTTAGTGTTGAAAAATAAAAACAGCAGCTTTTGTTCTGTATTGCCAGCTCTACTCCTTTCTACTTTGGAGTCTTAGCTGAGTTCTCACAGAAGCATTTTCCCCATGTGGCTCTATCTGTGCATTGCCACTTTGTTTCTGTGAGAATTTAGGAAGCAGGTGTGAGGAGTCAAGCTAATATTAAATATGCATTTTTTTCTTTTTTAAAATATGTGCAATCATTTTTAGAATGAGGTTTTTTTCCTCTTCCCATTTGGCAGTCCTTCCTGAAAATAGTTAACATTGCTAGTAAAATATTTGCTTGTTGAAAAAAAGTAACAGATGTATTTATACCAAAGATCCTGTTGTATTGCTTACCGTGTCCCCATAACTAAGAGTTTGTATTGTCATTGGTGATGAGAAACTCACAGAAAGGTTTCTTAGTTGGTAAAGAATATTAAGAAGAAATCAAAGCCTATTGAGTCATTGAGGCTTTTGAAGTTTCTTTTTAACATCTTGTATATTCTTGGGGCCCTTCAAGCTGTGACATTGTCCTGGTAACTCTCAGTTCTCCACAGATCTGGGTGAAGTAGAAGGTACTGGGGATGGGGACATTCCTAACCATAAAGGATTTCGGGAAATAAGGTTACCCTAAGATAAGACATGTGTTCCATCTGAAGTGAAAATAATATTGGAGAGATAATTCTGGGACTGGTTCTATATGGAGATGGTGTCAAGAAGGTGCAGAATGGAGATGGGAGATTCATGGAGCCTGGTCAGCATGCTCTGTACCGGGTTGAACCCCGAGGAGTTGTCAAAGTGTTTGGAGTTTCTTCAGCATTAGGAGTAAGGGCTTCCATGATGGGACAGGTACTCAATACAACTTCCCAGGAACATGTTGTACTTTCTGTATTTAAAAAAAAAAATCATTATATTAAGTTGTGTGTTCCACACTATTTTGGTCAAGATAGCCAGGCAGTTTGTGTAGTTTGTAATTCGTGTAACACAGTTTTCTGGTCAGCGTGTATGATCTTTTTCTCTCCTTTTTGCCAAGCACATTCTGGTTTTCTTGTTTAACCTCTTAGGTCTGGTTTCTAGTAGAAACATTTTTGTTCCTTATCTTTCTTCTGCAAGGGACAAAATTTGTTGCTTTTGTAAGAAACAAGATGCAGGGAAAAACAAAACCCCACCTTTCACCTAGTCCAACAAGTAGATACCTTTTAAGATAGAGTCTTAACTCCATGGGAAAGAATAATACCTTAATCACCTGACTAGCAACGTGTGGCATAAAAAATGACCTAGAGATTTTCATTCTTAATCTGTAAGTTGACGTTTCAGGTTTACCAAGATAAAAATCTACCTTTGTCTACTGAATGCGTATGTGCTTGTTGTGGCTTTTGATTCTACTGTGGGGCTTGACATCACTGGCCCTGACAGCATAGGGGAAGGCCTGTGAATGTAGTGAGCATCTAGTCTGGGTCACCATGGCCTGACCTCAAGGCAGCTTAAGGCTTTTACGTCTTCTGTCAGTTCCATTTCCAACTTCTGCCCTTCCAGCTGAGGGAAGAAGTGGAGAAGGGTTGAGGATAGCCATCTAACTTCATCAGGGACACTTAATCACTCTTGAATTTTAATAGCTCCCAAGAGGTGGATACCACTGTCAGTGTTCAGCTGAAATGCCAACTCCAGGAATAAGAATTTCATTTCAAACAGTTTTGTTCATTCTGAGCCTGCTTTTGTGATTGCTCATCCATCATCCTCCACTAGAGGGGCTAAGCTTGACTGCTCTTAGCCAGCCAAGCACAGTAATACGCGTTATACTTAGCATTATTATGCAGAAATCTGCTAATTGAGATGGCTTGTTTTAGGATGGGAAATGACTTTGCCTCTCAGTGATAGGAATAGCCCCAGCCTGCTTCCTATTTTGATTTTACTTTAAACTGATGGATGGTGCAGCATGTCTACATGGTTGTTTGTGGCTAAACTTTATATAATGTGTGGTTTTAATTCAGCTTGAAAAATAGTCTCACTACATGTAGCAGTACATTATATGTACATTGTATGTAATGTTAGTATTTCTGCTTTGAATCCTTGATACTGCAATGGAATTCCTACTTTATTAAATGTATTTGATATGCTAGTTACTGTGTGTGATTTAAACTTTTTTTTCCTTCTTTTTTTGGTTGTGAGCTTCCTTTTACAATAAGCCTCTAGAAACATATAGTTTCTGAGAATTACTGAGCTATGTTTGTAATGCAGATGTACTTAGGGAGTATGTAAAATAATCATTTTAACAAAAGAAATAGATATTTAAAATTTAATACTAACTACGGGAAAAGGGTCCATTGTGTAAAAACATAGTTTATCTTTGGATTCAATGTTTGTCTTTGGTTTTACAAAGTAGCTTGTATTTTCAGTATTTTCTACATAATATGGTAAAATGTAGAGCAATTGCAATGCATCAATAAAATGGGTAAATTTTCTGATTCATGTGGCTGTTCTTTACTTACGCTTAGGGGAACAGAAGAGATGCTTAGGGGCACAGAGGGGATGAAGCAGTGATATCTTTGGAATGGCGAAATACATTGCATTTGAACATCAGTAGAGCATTAGAGACAATTTCATTTTCTTAAATTTTTTTTTAAATAAAATATGGAACACTTCATGAATTTATGTGTCATCCTTGCACAGGGGCCATGCTAATCTTCTCTGTATTGTTCCAGTTTTAGTATATGTGCTGCCGAAGCGGGGACTCTTAAATTTTTTTGAGTACATGTTTGCAATATATAATAGTTACATTCACCATGGAGAATTGGTACATGTACATGCACATGACAATTTTTATTCTGCATACAAATTTCCATAATGGAAACGATTAGGGTTTGGTAGGGAATACTGCTTAAGAATGGAGGTCCATGGGGCTGGGGATTTAGCTCAGCGGCATAATTGCCTGCCTTGCAAGCAGGCAGTCGTGAGTTCGATCCCCGGTACCGATAAAAAGGAAAAAGACAAAAAAAAAAAAAAAAAAAAAAAAAGAATGGAGGTCTAGGACCTTTACTTTAGATTATGCATGTCCAACCTTTTGGCTTGCCTGGGTCACACTGAGTGAAGTGGAATTGTTTTGGCCATATATAATATATAATAATTTGTATAAAAGTAACAAAATTTCCTTTAAAAATATTTTAACTTGTTACATTATTTTACAAAATAACACAAGCCCAAGTTTAATGTCACTAAAGTTGGTATACCACCCCCCCACTGCTAAATTTGACTGGCTTTAAAAAAAATAAATAGTTAAATTTTACATGTCAGCTTAATAACAAACGCTTGTTTTTACAGGCATACAAGTAAGTATGTTGGAAATACTGTTATTGGAAATCCATTTTATCTGTTGCACAAATTTGGTGCTTGTGGGTCTCCACTGAACTGACTAGTAGATGCAGGAAAGAGATGCAGTTGGCACCCTTTTCTACACAATGTTCTGTTGTCCCTGACACAGTTTGGGCTTGAGCCCCATGTGATCCAGTGATGAAAATCACGTCATGATCTTGAAAGTTTGTAATCTTGGGAGGCTGCATTACTGACTGTGCAGGATTAATCTGTTGGCTGCTTTAGTTCATCTAAACCTCCTTTGAAAGAAATAGAAAACTTCTCAGATGAGCTAATTAAACTTTGTTTCTTAGCATTTTTTACCAGTCTCCTAAGGTAGTGGGATGAAAATAAAGAGTCAGCACAGGAAGACGCTATTGTTTTTTTTCCTGAAGTTGTACCATTAGATTTGTGGTCCTTTTCAGAGAAGAAACACCTTTGATCATGTTTCTCTTGATTCTCAAATGAATAAGTTTTCTCCTGATAAATAGGAATTTGTCAAGATTAATCATTGTAAGTCTCTGAATAAATACTTTGTATAGTTGACTTCTGACATGTGTCAGAGGCCAATCTGGCAGCAGCCAGTTAATTCATTTTGGGTTCCTGCAGCTTTGATTAGAATGTAGAAATGAATAACAGTTAAGAACACCCTTTCTAACTCTAACCAAGAGAAATGATGAGTCTCTTTCCCAGAAACAGCAAGGTCAAAATATAGCTATTTTGGATTAGACTATAGTATCCATAAACTTCAAAAATTCTTATCTCCCTGTATCAGTAAATTAATTTAGTGTGAATTGTTTAAATCTGCAATTTTGGCAAGCGGCTGCAAAACTCAGAAAGCCATGCAGAATTGCTTTGCTGTTAGCCTGACTTCCAAAAATGCTGTTAGCTGATGAGGAGGGTCTTTGGGCTGTCTATGCCTACTAATTTCTCAATGACCTGTTCTTTATTTTTATTTTGGTAGTATTTTTTTAAATCTCAGTTGTATTTTCTCTGAGATAAATCAGAGAGACTGGCATGTCCCCCTAAAGAAATTGGGTAGTTTGTAGGGAAGTCTGCATTTTGGTTATAGAAAACCCTGTAAAATGTAATCTACCTACTTTGTTGAAAATTTCAACATCCGTTGAAGTCTAGCCCTTGAATTCTCTATGAATCATTTAGATGGCAGCAGATGCTTAGCACAAGGTGGCGCCAGTGAGCTGTAGAAATATTTTGACATGTCCCCACCCCTCAAAACCACCTCTCTTCTGCTTTGGGCTTCCATTGAAACAAGGTGGGAAATCCATCCTGTTATTGCTGGAGTAGACAAGGAATAATGAAGGATGTCAGTTTGTTATAAATCAACACCAGAACCATTCTAAAACAAGAATGGTGTTTGCTGAGTTTTCTCTGGGGTCTCTGCCTCCTGCTCCTTTTTCTCTGCACAACTTCTCAGAAAATCTCTGCTTTTGGATTTCCATTTCTTTCCTCCTGAGGAGGCTACAGCCTAGCGGGGAGGCGGCTGAAGCTTCTGGCTCCCGTGCAAAGGGGCCATCTGTGTTTGATCAGCCCAGGCAGAAAGGAGGGGCTGGAGTTGTAGAGGCTGAAAGCATTCCAGAGTAGTGAGAGAGACGCAGAGATCAGAAACAGAGAAGGCACCGCCCCCACCCCTCCTCCAAGCCTACCCGCCAGCTTGAGGGGAAGAGGCCAACCGCATACTCCCTTTGCTGTGGCCCCACTTTCCAGGCTGCCATGGGCCTCAGCTCTCCTCTCCTCGTCCTGTTCCTTTTGTCATGGTCGGGACCCCTTCAGGGACAGCAGCACCACCTTGTGGAGTACATGGAACGCCGACTAGCTGCCTTGGAGGTGAGGGACTCCTTTCTCTTCTAGCCCAGCCTGGGAGGATTCCAATTTGTCAGGGCTCTGGGCATGACAAAACGGGTTTATAAGAATCTACAGAAAAATATGCCTTTTAATAAAAAGGATCCTCAAAATTATAAGACCTCTTTTGCCACACAGAATCGTTCTGAAGCAAATAGACCTTTGTGTTTCACTCTGGGATTAGATGGGATAAAAAGGATGAGTGGAAACGAGAGCCAGGATTGTGGGGGCGTATCTCAGGAGGAGGTGATAATTCTGTGGAGTTGGAAGTTCCCAGAGAATCTGCAGCCTTCTGCCCTTTCCCCCACGACAGTTCTGAAGTCCATAGCATCTTCATTCCTAAGAGAATTATATAATTGGCAAAGACTCTCCTGCACTTAGATCTCCCTAGAGGCTCAGATGACTCAGTGGCATCCTCAGCACACTGGCTAAAGGACTCTAGTCTAGCTGAATCTGAGCCTGGCTCCTTGCACCTTTAGCACCCCAAACATTTGGTTTCCTTTGCTGTGGGAGTAGAAGGGGTCATTGATGCCTAGCTGAGTTTGCTCCTTTTCCCATTCCTGACTCCCTGGCTGGGCCTCTCTCTGCCTGGAAGTTGTAACCCTGCAGCCGCCCTGCCTCCTCCCTGATCCCCCATCCCTTCAGGAACGGCTGGCCCAGTGCCAGGACCAAAGCACTCGGCATGCTGCTGAGTTGCGGGACTTCAAGAACAAGATCCTGCCACTGCTGGAGGTGGCAGAGAAGGAGCGAGAGGCGCTCAGAACTGAGGCTGACGGCATCTCAGGGAGAGTGGACCGTCTTGAACGGGAAGTAGACTATCTGGAGACTCAGAACCCAGCTCTACCCTGTGTGGAACTTGATGAGAAGGCAGCTGGGGGCCCTGGGACCAAAGGCAAGGGCAGAAGAAATGAGAAATACGATATGATGACAGGTGAGTGATTGCAAAGCAGGCCCCAACACTCTGTCTTCCTTCTTACTCTTCTCTTTGTTCCAGTCCACTATAGTTCTCCTTTGGGACCCTATGTTAGAGAAATCTGGGCAATGATAAGTCCATTAAGAAGAGTATATGGGGACCCAGGCGCCTCTGATATTCCTCTATAGGAAAGGAGATACCCACAGGACAGATGTCCTCTTCTCCAGATAGCCCACCTTGTTGAGTTCCTGCTGTAGTAACTAACGCTGGCTTGATTTCCTCTTCTCTTGTATTTTCTTCTTCTTTACCAGACTGTAGCTACACAATCTCTCAGGTGAGATCAATGAAGATCCTGAAGCGGTTTGGTGGCCCAGCAGGTCTGTGGACCAAGGATCCACTGGGGCCAACTGAGAAGATCTATGTGTTGGATGGGACGCAAAATGATACAGCCTTTGTCTTTCCACGGCTGCGTGACTTCACCCTTGCCATGGCTGCCCGCAAAGCTTCCCGAGTCCGGGTGCCCTTCCCCTGGGTAGGCACAGGGCAGTTGGTATATGGTGGCTTTCTTTATTATGCCCGGAGGCCTCCTGGAGGCCCTGGAGGGGGTGGTGAGTTGGAAAAAACTTTGCAGCTCATCAAATTCCACCTGGCGAACCGAACAGTGGTGGACAGCTCAGTATTCCCTGCAGAGAGATTGATTCCCCCCTATGGGCTGACAGCAGACACATACATTGACCTGGCAGCTGATGAGGAGGGTCTTTGGGCTGTCTATGCCACCCAGGAGGATGACAGGCACTTGTGCCTAGCCAAATTAGACCCACAGACACTGGACACAGAGCAACAGTGGGACACGCCATGTCCCAGAGAGAATGCTGAAGCTGCCTTTGTCATCTGTGGAACCCTATATGTCGTCTATAACACCCGCCCTGCCAGCCGGGCCCGTATCCAGTGTTCCTTTGATGTCAGTGGTACCCTCACCCCTGATCGAGCAGCACACTCCTACTTTCCCCGTCGATATGGTGCCCATGCAAGCCTCCGCTATAATCCCCGTGAGCGCCAGCTTTATGCCTGGGATGATGGCTATCAGATTGTCTATAAGCTAGAGATGAGGAAGAAAGAGGAAGAAGTTTGAGAAGCTAGACTTTTTAAAAAAAAAATCTCTTTATCTTCATACATTTATATCTGTGATAGAATTCCTGCTCCTTATTCTTCAAATGTAGACAAGTTGAGACTCAAATTTCTTATTTTTTAACCAATGATAACCAAATTCTCATAGCCCCTTTATTTCATATGGAACTTCAGATTCTGAGTAATCCTTGGGGAGCTAAAATAGTGAAAAGTCTA